TCACGGGGTCTCACACTTTTATAAATTCTGGTTCATTTTCATATTAGAGTTAAGTGTCCAGTTACAGCTTTAGCCCATGAAGTCCCATCCTCCTTGATTTTCTCTCTTCAGTACACGTTGTTTAAGCTCTTGGGCCTGAAATTTGGAACATTTGTCCTTGATCCCCAGATAGAGAAGGAATTGTTTTGTCTACCTACTCTGTGAAGAGAGTTTAGTATCCTCTAATATAAAGCTCAAAAGTGCACACTAAAGCAGCACAGAATCTGAAAAATAGAAAAGCTAAAACCTGAGACATCACAGGTGGCTAATGCAAAGCCTAGGTGATGGACACCCTGGGCACCTTTCTGCAGCTGACACCTTCCAAGTGTCAGGGGCACAAAAATGGCATGAGAATGGAAGGTCAGTGGGGTTTGCAAAAGCAGAACTTTGAGAATGGGGTTTGCAAAAGTAGAACTTTGCACTTCAGCAAAAAAACCTGTGGGTAAGAGGTAGGCACTGGAGTGGAAAAAGGGTTTCACCAGCCAAGGTGTGAGGGTAGCTAATGCATGCCCTGGGTGGTGAGGGCTTTACACGTGTGGTTTTAGCTGCTGAGCACACTTTCTGGGGAAGGACACCCACATGAGTGCTAATTTAGGTACAATCTTCCTATTTCTTGCATTTCAGTGGCTTTTGTTGGCAGAGCAGAAGGGGCAAGAGATGAGCCCAAACCAGGAGGTGCAAGGAGCACAGAACTGGATGGGATGTTTTTTAAGGGAAGGGAACACATCCATCCTGCAGCAAAGATGGGAGGCTGAGTAGAAGGTGCAGGGGCAGAGAGAAGAACAGATGATCAGATATGATGTAATGAAATCTCCAGGGGGAATTAAAACCCTTAAAGGAAGGAGTCAGAACGGGGAGAGGAAGAAAACCTTGTTTTTATGTGGATTTGCAATTAAATACTATTTTTTCCCCCTCACTAACAGATTTTTCACAAGAATTTACACCACTGTTACTCCAGCTTTAAAGATGCAGGCCTTGTGTAATTGCATAGCTGCATGTTTAATTCCTTGATTAAAAGAGGCACAGCCACCTGATTTCATCAGAGGCACAACATATATTGAGGATTCTTAATGCTTATTCAAGAATGGGGAAAAGCTACAGCCAAGTGCACAGTGAAGTAACTTTTAGGATTCATACTTGAATATTATTCTATTTACAAACGCTATCCTGAGACAAATACATGAGAATTTACAGCAGAAGAGCATGAGAGGAGCAGGAATAGGGGATAAATGTCAGGGAGTTACAGACTGGAGGTAACAGAGAAGGCTGGATGAGAAAGGTGAGGGACCAGATCCATTATTGTGCAGTTTCCCTATGTTATGATTAAAAAACGGGGCAGTTTTGAGGTGAAGAGAATGTACTGCTAGAAATGTTTTCTTCTTTATTAACTTAGATGCACTTTTTACACTTTATACTCTCTTCAATCAGGGTAAAACATTCTGTGAGCAGGGAGTGAAGCAGTACCCTCAATGTGCTTGGGTGTGCCTTTTTCTGCTGGTTTTATTTTTTCTTTAATTTGCACTAACAATCTTGCAGCAGAACAGCTAACAATAGCAGAAGCAGTGTTTGCAATTGATCTTTTTGCTACATCCTCTGTATTTAGGAATGCTCTTTACTCTGAGTTACACTTGTTGGAGGTTAGGATTTTTCTTTTTTTTTTGTTTCCCTTTTTCTCTCAAGGATTTTTCTCCCGTCTATTGCCTAAAAAATTATAATAATGGTACTTAAGAGAGACAAAACATGTAGCCAAGGGGGAGGGGGTGCACTCTTATAGGTGAGGAGTTTTTTTCCTTTGAAAGGGGGAGATTTTAGTGAGGGGCTGGGCTCAGCTCCTCGTTCTCTCGTTTTTGGCTTGGAGGGGAACGAGCATTGCTGCCCAGAGGATTCTTTCCAGTGTCTGGATTTGCCCCTTCCCCAGCCTACTTCTGTAAGCTCTCATGTGCTGCTGATACAATACATTTCATATCAAAAGGTCAAACACACCTTAGGGTGGGTTTTTTTTT